GGTGTGGGCTTTGGCCTCTTTCCTTTTCCATCATAAGCACAGAAGGAACTTGGATATCAAAGAAAAGAAAGGGCATGCCCGCATCTCTCTACCAAGGGTACCAGCTGTGGGCTTGCTCCAATAGCTTCCTAGAGTCTGTTCCCAGGGAGTGAAAGCAGAGGGGCATTGAAGTGTTGACCTGGTAGCAGGTTTTGTTGATGGGGATTAGGCAGCCACAAGGAAACAGCCTGGTGACCTGGTTCTTGTAAGCACATTATCAACTCAGCCAGCTCACATCCTGTCCAGCAACTTTGGGCAATTAAAATTCCTCACATCCATCACTGAAGAGCACACAGGTTCACCTTCCAGCCATTCAGCAAATCCTTGGTCCCTCATTAGGCTGGAAAATGACAAAGTAAAAGCAGCAGGATCAGAGGGTGCAGCATTGGTGTCCCAAACGGTGGTCTGTCAGCAACTGAATCTCCAAAATGAATAAGAAGAAATCTTTCCCCAGTTGTAACAAAAAAAGATCATAACATCAAAGACTCGGGGTCTCTTTATCTGGGGAGAAATGAAGTGCATAATTCAAGACTCTTGGCTCATTGTCTATGCTTCTAACTTGGCACCTAACACGGTGAGGCATGGATGTGTTTAGGCATCTATCCAACTCCTAGATGGGAAATGGGAAAATTTGGGTGGGGGGAGGACCTGGCCTCGTTCCCTTCTGTATCCTCAGAGCACAATATAATACCTGGCACAAGCCATGTTCCTCAGTGGATGAGTGATGATGCCAGGGAGCAAGGGTGTGAACCCAGCTAGAAAATTCTTGAATCCCTAGGCTTCTATTTCCTCATCGTAACAGTGAGATGATTTCTAATTCTAGCCTTCTGTTATCTCCTGCAGGAAGTACACAGTGGAGCATTTTACAGGTTTAAGGAGAGTTTACCAAAGTGTGCACACGAGCCTTTGACATATGGTGACTGGATGGGAGGGGTGTGATATCGCAAAATCTTCCCTGGAACTGGATGAAAAGTAAGACAGGCCCTGAGTTGTGTTTGTGGTGTTCAAGGAACACACTGTACTGAGATGGAAGGACTCAGGACCTCAGCAGTGTGATCCGCAAAGTCAAGTTAAGACTCAAGTGGCTGATTTCCTAGAGAAGAAAACAGGTCAGCATGGCCACTTGTGTTCTAGGCTGCCTCCCCAGCTCCAGAGTGATTTTTAACTACACATCCAAGTGGACCCCTTCATCTTGCAAACAAAACTTGGGGTCAGCATGTATCCCCAGGATAGCCTGCTGAGAAACTCCACTGGTCATATCTTTCCTGGGGCAAGAGAGGAAATGAAAACTGGTCTGGAGAAGGACACCATCATCAGAGATCTGAAGCAGTAGGACATACTAACTGTGTCTTTAAAGTGGGGATAGGAGACCTAAGGAGATGGCTCTGTCTGTAAAGTGCTTGCCACAAAAGCAGTAGGATCTGAGTTTGATTCCCTAGAACCCATGGTAAAAAAGCTGGGCACAGAAGTACATGCCTATAAATCCCAGTGCTAGGGAGGTGATCCTTCTGTGAAGGATCTGTGGGGCTTCCTGACTAGCCAGTCTAGCCAAATCAATGAGCTCCAGTTTAAGTAAGAGACCCTGTTTCAAAACAAAACAAAGTAGAACACAATCGAAAAGACACTGATGTTAACCGCTTGCCTCCAAACACACACACACACACACACACACACACACACACACACACACACACACATGCACACACGCACACAAACAGTGAAGTATTTTTGAATGTTTGTATTGAATTTTTTGTGTATTTCATATACAACATCTTAATCATTTTAACCCCTTCTCCCATCTTCACCCTTCACAAACAGTGGGGATGTGGAAATCTTGCCTTCTCTGTGTGTTCCTTGAAGGCCTACAGAAAGAACAGGGCACTGACATTGAATGCAGAACTAATTGGACAGTCATCATAATAAGCCATTAAAGGAGCCACAGTAGCAGAAAGAACATAGGATACCCTTCTTTTTGTTTCCAGGTTGATTCCACCTGAGTAAAGTCTCAGCACAAACAGTGGGGATGTGGAAATCTTGCCTTCTCTGTGTGTTCCTTGAAGGCCTACAGAAAGAACAGGGCACTGACATTGAATGCAGAACTAATTGGACAGTCATCATAATAAGCCATTAAAGGAGCCACAGTAGCAGAAAGAACATAGGATACCCTTCTTTTTGTTTCCAGGTTGATTCCACCTGAGTAAAGTCTCAGCACAGGAACAGAGTGGAGTACATAGGCCATCGTCCTCAGTCCTGGAACCATCTGGAGCCAGAAGACTGTGGCCCTTTCAGTGCCATCTCAGTTAATATCAGGTTGCCAAGATGGCTACTCCATGTTGGGGCAGTTTGGTTACTCCCTTTCTGACCCCCCAAACTGCCACATAGATGTTCCTTCTCCTTCTTTTCACATTTTAATTACACTGTTTTGTAATATTTGGCTTTTCTCTGACTATGAACCCTCAGGAGGAGGGACTATTACATGACTCATCCCTCACATGGCTTTTCCTGACTCCATCAGCAAAACAGATCCTCACAGAAACTGAGGATGCTAATTAAGCAGGAGTTTGGTTTACCCAGTTTCTGCATGGACTCAGCCATAAAGCATGAAGTTTTGTGGAAGAACCAGGTCAAGGAAGGCCACAGGTAAAGGAAAGGACTCTAGATTTAAAAGATCTGTATTGCGCTATAGTTGCATAACCAGATGATTCTGGAAGCATTCAGTCTCAGTTTGCTTTCTACAGGAGGGGACTATAACCTGTGTCATCTTAGCCCTGTGTTGCATAGGTCCAATAAAACCATGCTCAAAACAGTGATTCCTGTCATGACAAACTTCTCTAGCAAAGCTTATTCAAGAGTGTCTTTGCCAGAATTATGCACACAAGAAGGAATGGCAGTCAATTAATTTTTTGTGGGCATTTGATCTTCTTTTGGCAGTCAGCCATTCTAGGAGGTAAGAAATGGAACATGGAAAGATATATACATTGGGCAGAAATATACCTCTTTCCCACCTCCCTTTGTACAAAGCTACTCATGACCTTGAAGACTGCAGTGTATCCTAGTTGTGTGGGCTACATATGTTTCAGTGATGCTTTCCAGCAAGGAACTTGGAATTCATTTGCAGAGTTTTTCTCACTGGGTTCTTTATTTAATGTAATTGGAACCATTAACACTGTCCCTAAGTAGAGTGCAAGTCAGTGAGTGCCTATCTATAGAAATAATGTCAGATGCATTTAATTTAAAAGTACCCCGAGGGTCTAGGACAATGCCAAGCATAGGGAGCCACTCTACATATTTATTTGATAAGTAAATGGCTGATTGTAGAATGAATTTGTTTTTGACAGCTGATCCAACCCTGTCAATTTGCTTAAACATATATTAGTTTTTTGAGGCACACCACTGAAGAGAACTTTAGCCCACACACAAAACCGTCATACCCTAGATGCTTCTCAGAGAATGTATTCTAAACCAGACCACCTAGCTGCACCACTATCCCAGAAACTGCAGGACTTTAAAATATTCAGATTTGCTATGGCAGCTCACGCACAGTTTATATGTGGGTCTCTGATGCTAATTCATGAAGCATAAGAAAAATCTAGCATACAAATTCAGTAATCATCCTGGTTTTTAGATGAAATCAGTAGAAATCAAACATGTTCTAGAATTTCTAAAAGGTCAGTTAAGCCATATACAAGGCGCTTTTTTTTTTTTTTAATGATGAAAAGAGGAGTACACCCATGCCCTAATTTAGCACCTATCAGTCTGTGGTTTGCATAACCTAGACTTAGCCCAGTTTTAGTGGGTTTGGGGGTTTTGGTTTTTTTTTTTGATGTTGTTGTTTTTTGAGACAGGGTCTCCCTGTAGCCCCAGCTGTTCTGGAACTCACTATGTAGACCAGGCTGGCCTTGAACTCACAGAGACCTGCCTGCTTCTGCCTCCCGAGTGCTGGGATTAAAGGCGTGTGCCACTATGCCTGGAAGTTTTGGTGTTTTTTATCCAGTGCTTTCCTGATTATTCAGCTCAGCAGCACTGGATAATTACTAGGTGTCTAGCCTTGTGCTGGCTGCTCTTGGGGGACTTTTTTCAATAAGAAAATTAAACACTGTTATTTTATTACTCATAAATTTATATGTATATATTTCCTCCATGGTTCCTGGTTCATAATTCTAACATATCCTATCTGATAGTCATTGGTTTCTCTTCATCCCCGCGGCTTTCCACCCAAAACCTACAAGGAGAGAATGCTGAGAGGCCACGAAGTGTCTGAATGGGCAGCCCCACTGGCATTTCCCACCCAATCATTAGCTTCAGAGCATCATTTTTAGCCACTCATATTTCCACTCATATGCCTGCTGAGTCATGCCTTTGCAATGAAGTCTCCATAAAATGCACAGAGGACAGTTTTAGAGAGCTCCTGGATAGCTGAACACATGGGGGTTCCTGGAGCATAGCATGCTTGGAGAGGGCCTGGAAGCTCCTGCCCAAGCCCCATATTTCACCCTACACACATCTCTATCTGTATCCTTTAAATTATCTGTTGTAATAAGCTGATGAACGTGTTTCCTTGAGTTCTTAGAGCCACCCATAGAAGTTAATGGAACCAGAGGAGATAGTTGTGGGAACCCCCAAGTTATAACTGGATGACTAGAAGCACAGGGAAAGCAGCTTAGGACTTTTGACTGCTACTGCAAGTGGATCTTGGGGACTGAATCCTCCATTTGAAGAATCTGAGGCTATCTCCAGGTAGACAGTACCAAAAATGAATTGAATGAGAGGACACCTAGCTGGCATTCACAGTTAATAGCATGCTTGGTGCTGGGGAGAAATCCCCACACACTGGTATCAGAAGTGGTCTGTGTTGGGAGAGTACAGTAGGAGAGAGTGGATTTGATTGGTTATTTCCGCACCATCATCAGAATCATCATATATTTCACAACAGCATATGAAAGGCAGTCTTCAGACAGACATACAGTTATGAGCACAAGAGTACCAGACTTTATTCAGAAATTACACAAGACAGAGAATGCTGGTTAAGACAAACTTTCTTGCTCAGAGCAAACAGATGCCAAGACACTTACGGAGAGGAAGGATTGCCTAGCAGTAGCTATTTAGTGTGATAATGGCGTTTGATAGTTTAGACACAAACACCATTGTCACACTCCACAGCTCTGCTAAGGAAAATCTGTAGGCACAGAGACACTAACTTCACCTTCAATTCCTCCATTGTCACTGGATCCTCTGTGGCTCCACACGTGAGATCTGAGCAGAGAAAAGAGGCAGAAAATCTTGAACAAGTTTTCACAAAGGCCTTCTACCAAGAAGAGACTTCCCATGGAAATGGGTGGGAAACCGCTTTACATTTTCTAAAAGGCTTGAGAGAGAAGGAATCCCTGGAGGGGACAGATTATAGAAAAAAACATATTTTACAAAATGAAATTATACATGCGAATAACTCCATTGGATTAACAGATTCTGCCAGCTCTCATCTCGTCATGGTTCTCAGTTCATCACTATAAATGTGATTAATTCTTCAGTTTAAGAAATGCCAATTCTTTTCTTTTCTTTGAGACAGGAACTCACTATGTAGCCCTGGCTGACCTGGAACTCGAACTCACAGAGATTCACCTGCCTCTGCTTCCCAAGTGCTGGGATTAAAGGTATATGCCAACATGCCCAGTTTATGATCATCATCTATGGGGCTATGGCACTTAGCTGTGATCTCCTCTCTCTCCATGGCATTTTTAGACACAGAGGCATCCCATCTTTCTCAGAACTTAAATCTTATTCACCTCAGTCATTCTCTAGTAGAATAGTGGATTGAAGATAACAGAGCTAAGAAAGAAAGAGACAGAAAAATAATCAGCGTTTAGTTAATAATACTTATTTTCTAGCAGAAAGTTGGCTCTGTGAACAAATCCTTTCTGGAATTACTTAGGTTTCCTGTTAGATATGATTTCCAGAGGTTATATGAACCTCTGCCCACTGTGGAGAGTGAGAGGAAACAGAAGCATTTACATAGTCCATTATTTTCCACAAATACTGGGAAAGGGGAAGGTTGAGAGCCAGCTATTTCCTCCTCCCACCAGAGTAACTGAGTTGTTAACATTTAACTGAGCCTTGCATTGGCCATAAAACTGGCCTGTATTTAACAAGTGAAAACGAATCCTTCTGCATTTTTCTGTAAAAATACCCAATTCCCATGCAGACCATTGAAATCACCCTCTCCAAGCTAGATTCTAGTGGCACCATGCTGAACCCACCTGCTCCAATGGGACCACGGTGTTGACTCCTCCCTTTTCTACCCTGTCCTTTTCTACTGTGTTGTTTGACTTGGTTTCCATTAAATAATGAACTTCCTTTTGTTCTGTCTGTGGCTCTGGTAGGCAGCGGGAAGGTGCCACTTGGTCCAGTGTTAGACTGGCATTCCTCAGATGGAGCTCTCTTGGGGCAGGGCAACCTTATGTGATACAAAGAGAATAAAGGGAAACCTTAGAGTAATTCCTGGCACCCAGCCCTACCCCAGTCCCTCCACACTGTCCTTGTGGTGCTGGGGAACATCATGGGATGACCTGTCCTCTTTTTCCTTACTGCTTCTTCTAAAAAGGCTGCAGGCTCATGCTGCTTTGTCTTTGCCTGAAGAACTTGGAGCTGCAGTCCCACCTCTTGTTCACTCCAGAGATGCTGCTAAACCATCTCAGTAGGGGGCTCTAAAACCCCTCAGCACAATTGGGAAGAGCAAGGAGAGAGGTGCACTGTTCACTAGTAAAGCAGGTCCTGCAGGGAGAACTCTATACTTGGGCAGGTCTTGGCCCACATCATTTCTCTGGACTTTATTGCAGTGTCTAAGAACTCCCAGTGCTCCAGGACCTCTGTGTGCTATGGGATAATCTGCAAAAGATAGAAAGAAAAAGGAAGGGTAAACATAAAAGAAGAGGGAAGGAAGCTAATGCATCACACACAAACTTTCCCTGATTGTTCCCCTCTGTGGGCCAGTTAGGACTCACACATGCATCTCAAGGAAAAAGGTAAAAAAAAAATTCTTTTTGGTCTTTTTGAGGCAGGGTCTCCCTGTAGACCCAGTTGAGCTGGAACTCACTATGTAGACTAGACTGGCCTTGATCTCACAGAGATCCTCCTGCTTCTGCCTCCCGAGTGCTGGGATTAAAGTAAAATTTACTAATAATGTTGTTCATTGTGATATTATGAAAAGAATAACACAGTTTGAATGCCCAGCTATAGGAAAATGGCAGCATGGTTACTGCAATACATCATAGCCATTTATCACATTGTAGAAAAATAATTGCTGGCTTGGAAACAAATTCAAGATTTGATTTTGAATGAAGAAGTAACTTACAAAACAACACACACACTATGAACCCCTTTCTGTGAAAAGTGTGTAACAGTTGTGTTATAATGGCTATCTGCCAGGTAGGAATTTTTTTCCCTTCATTAATGTCCCTGAATTTGTCAATTTCTGCAACTCTTGCAACATTTTTTATAATGGGAAAAATAATTATAATTAAAAATTTCAACCCTCTACCATTCTCCCTTCTGGATATGCTGATAAAAAAATTACTTCTTGCAAAACACTTTTCTTAAATTTGGAGGTTGGGACCTATGCAACTCAAACATACTGGCTTGTCCCTATGAAATGTAGTGCCACTGAGAGAGGGGCCTCAGGCCATTCTTTAAGAAAATTATTATTGAAATGCTTTTTATGCAGTCTAATCATTTTATAATATTGCATCAAGAAGTAAATTGCCTATTTATTAGGGCCTGGTGAACAGTTCTTAGACATTGCTAAAACATTTGTCATTGTCTATTCCTTCTTTAACCACTTCTGCAAGAGTGATTACACTCTGTCAGCTGCTCTGCAAGCAGTTTAAACAGGCCCAAGGAATGTTTTCATATTCATTCAAATGTCATTTAATAGTATATCACTAAAAAGAAAGTCAAAGTAGGTAATGCCATGGTCTACTTTCAGATGTTTCTAAATATTCGGATAGGCTTTTCTCTTTCTTCAGGCTTAAAAAGTCTTCTGTTTTAGGATTTTCAAATTGAACACTGGAACATAAATAGTGCCAGCTAACAACCAATATGAAGTGTGTAAACTGGCTGGGAAATAGTAACATCTATTATTTCCTATGAAAAAAAAAAAAAAAAAACAATGCTTAAAACAAAGGTGCTGGACATTAATCAGGGTGACTTTTCCAAATGTCAGCAGGGTTTTCCATGGCTTAGAAAAGGCCTTGTGGGATCATGTCTCCTCTAGGCCTGTGAGCCCATCCCTGTGAATCTCCTGCTGTCTAGCAATCTGCATGCTTGTTCCCTAAGGGAGGCTGAGTGGGAGGCATTTCTAAGCTCAATTTCCATGCTATGCCCTCACTTTCCCAAACAGGATGGAATTTCTAGACATTCTAGCAGCTGTGATCAATTCTGAATATAGTTTTTCCCATTGAACCTGTGAGCATAAAAAACAAATTAAACTTGGATTGCTCATCTTTTAATGCCAGGCATTCATTAAGGAGGAAGTCTTTATAAGAGCCTAACTTTGCAGCAAACCCATCACCCTCCAAGTGTTTAGTGTATACCATCGCTCTCAGGGAGCTGTCTCAGATTTACAAGTACCAGGAATACCAGACACTATGTGTTATTCTCAGGTCAGATCTCAGTTTGTCCTGGCTTTAATCATGCACTCAGGATTGAAGAACATCCTACAGACAGCTCCATAGGGCAGGAAGATAATGCTCTGGGGACTATGAGGTGTCACTTGACTGCAAAACTAACCCATCAACACTACAAGAAGATTTTTTAAAAAGCAAAAAAATAGAGATGCTTTCATTCCAAATTCACATTTACTGTCATATAAAATAGATGTGTTAAATGCATCAATTTGACTGTTTTAAGCCATTATAGTCTAGACGAAGACAAAGGAAGTCAGTCTCAGACTTCCTGAGTCTTGTCATTCTTGAAATCACATGGAACTTTTAAAATAGAATGTTCTTGTCAACAGGGAGTGAACCAGCATTTCATCTATTGAAACCCATTTAGAAGGGAAAATCTGGAAGGCTTCTTATTCATGCATTAAAAAATCTGCATTTATCACCAACCAGTGGTGAAGAGAGAATCACTGGGCAAATTCACATCATTTTGGGCCTTGATGGAGTCCTTTTTAAAAAGAATTGCTGAGTTGGGAATTCCTAGAGGCGAATTTCATGTCTCTGCAGGTGGACAGCTATTTCAGTTCCTTAGGGCAATAGCACAAGTCGGATTCACACATACGAAAGAAGCAACTGCAATGTGTAAGAACAAAACATGGTGAAAGTTGCCTGTGCATTCACCCTGAAGCACAGTGAAGAGAAGGGTTCTTGGTTTGAATACCTACTTTTAGTTATATTGGTGGAATCTTGAGCAAAGGCCTTGGTGTTGTTGATAAACCAGGCCACTTTAAAATGGGAAATGGCTTACCATATAGCAACTCCAAGGGCAGAAATAAAAGTCCACACGGACTCTGGTCCCTTCTTGCCTCTCTAGCCTCATTCTTTCCCTCCTTAAGGAGTACAAAGAAACTTCCAGAAGCTCTCCAGTTTTACTGAGACTTTTTGAATAAAATGAATAATCATGCAGACAAATTCAAATATGGTGTGTCCTATACTTAATGTTGCTCAGGAGCTGTGTGGAGGTCTGTTTTAAACACCTAAGCCGGCAGCTTGCCCTTGCCTCATTCAGTAGTCACCCTAAAGAACAATCTCATTTCCAAAGGCAGCTGGAAGGTTCTAGAAGAAGCCACTTACCTCAGTCAGCACTTGACTCCTCTCAGTCCAGGGCTCCTCCTCTGGCTGGCAGGATGGCGCCTTCCATGTACCCTATTTCTGTTGGGGGTTCAAGGGCAGCTGTGGGTGAGAGCCCTGAGCTTCTGTGGCTTTTAGGCCTTTCCACTCTCCCTTTATGGGATCCAGGGTTTAAAAGTAAACAATTCTTTCTCTCTGTGATAAGTCACATTAAATTATCGATTGTAGGGGAAGGGAGGGCATGACCTTAGTCCTCTAAGTCAGCGTCACCTTTGGCCAAACACTAAGCAAGACTGAAGGTCCAGCTTCCCTATACCCCCTTGCTGTGTGGTGTGTGCTGCCTGCAGGTAGATACAGAGGCCAAGGTGTGAAAACAGGCAGCTGAACCCAGTGAGTATTTTCCCCTCAGGAGTCTGGTTTAAACTTGTTCCAACTCTTTCCTCACAGGAAGGACCACATCTTCAGGTTTCTAGAACTGGAAAAGTCACCTGGTCACATGTGTTCAGTAAATTAAATATATTTCCAGCTCTTCTTACTCAGAGCTCTTGACCAATGTTTGGGAGCCAAGCTTGCCTTCTTGGCCATTTCTAATGTACTCAAGATCTAATCACTTGTTAACACCAACCATTATGGAGTGCCTCCCTGTCAGTTAAGCTCTGAGAAACCAAGGGGAGAGCAAAGCAAACAAGGGTGATCCCACCTGGGATCAAGACAAATCCACAAGTAGCAACAGCCACTGAGGCTGCCATGGTTCTAAACGTATTCTGTCGCCAGCTATTATTTGTAATGTCTGCTCATTTCTCTTTCTCTTTGGGCTATTTTGGCCCGTTGCTTTTAAGAGAAAACTGTTTTTGTACTCTCTCTGGTAATCTCATGTGAGGTGGGACTTTCTAGAGAAAGTTGCGAAGAAGACAGTAAGACTGAACTTGCAGGTCCTGTCACCCTGTCCCACACTTTTAGTGGTCATGTCCCTTCTCGGGTGAAAGTGAAAAGCAGAATGTGCTAGAATTTTTCCTTGCTCTTGCTCAATACCTGGTCTCTAGAAATGAGCCTACAGACTTGCCATGGCTCATCAGTCCTGTGAGTACCCCCTGCTTCCCATGGGAACTCCAGTTCCTTCGCTGGTATCCTTTGACCATCTGAGGTAATCCTGCATCCTCACCCCTAGGGAAGACAGGCTCTTCCTGAGCCTTCTGAGGGAGTGGCCTGCACATTCATGTGGTAAAAGTCCAAAGTCCACCTTGAGGAAAAGCTACTTTGAAACCTCTTTGGAAACCTCCAAGGTCGGTGTGTTTCAGCTTTGCTCAGTGGATATGCATTCACAGGATCTATTTAAAGGTCTTAAGGCTGGCAGAGCTGCATTGGGATGACTTGTAGTAACTTGCTTTGTCTTAGCAACTGTATTTCTTTTCTGAAGTACAGTGGATTTTCTCCTTTAAAGTAAAATGGACTCAGTCTAGAGAGATGGCTCAGCAGTTAAGAGCACTGGCTGCTTTTGCAGAGGGCGTGGATTCAATTCCCAGCACCCACATGGTAACCAACAGCCATTTATAACCAGTTCCAGGGGATCCAATGCCCTCTTCTGACCTCTGCAGGCACTGCAGGACACAGGTACACTTACACAAACACACACACACACACACACACACACACACACACAGAGGCAATATACTTAAACACATAAAATAATAAATAAGATTTTTTTTTTAAAGTAAAATGAACTCTTCAGAATTCTTCATATGGACATTCTTTCCAATGGAAGGACAACCCCCCCCCAACAACCAGGCCTCTCCCCATGTCTATTTGGGCCGCTTCTATCACTTCGTTTGGTTTATGGAAGTTGATGTGGTTTTGCTGAGACAAAGGACAGTCTGGCCAATGTGGCATGAGAGAAAAGAGAAGCAGCAGCCAGACAAGGCTGTGGAAACTTTTCAGATACTCTAGATATTTAATGTCCAGAACAGACTTCAGGCTTCATTATCCACAGTAAATGGAAAATAAATACCCGGTGTTAGGTGCTAGTCTATTTAGTGAGGAGGAGATGAACTGGAATCAGAGCTCAAATAATTATTCAGAAATCAGTTCTCCATCAAGTTCATTTCATAATTAATGAAATCTAAGATGTCTTTAGGTAAATTACATACAGGTTACAGAAATGATATGTATGGGGACGTGTTTTAAAATCAATCAAATACAGTAATTTGAATGGCTCTTCCTCTCCTCCCTCCCTTATGTCTGAGTGCTCGTCTACAATCTAGTGGTTAGCCACACTGATGTGGTGCTAGATCCTGGAGCTAGACTTCCCCAGTACAGACTCCAGCCCTCACACTTACTAGTTCAAAATTTCCTCATTGATAAAATTTCTACCTGTAGTAGTACAGACTTCCAAAGATCCTGGTGAGGCTCATAGGAATTAATGAAGTACAAGCTTAGGATGATGTCCAGCACAAAATAACACTTAGTTCTAAGGGTTGTTATAAAATCTTTACAACATTTTGATTATTCTTGTTTTAAATTTTAGCTGTTCAAAGACACAGCTGGGACCTGTCAGTGGGACCTGAAGTTTACTTTTCTGAGGGCAGTTTTACTGCCTTCTGAGCCCTCCCTGACACATGTGAAGGAAGCCAGCCACCAACAGCTATGATTCTTGCTTTTCTAGGAACAGCTCACAACCTGGGTCTGTTGCCAAACTCCCCAGTAACCTATATTCTAAGCCTTCCATTTTATCTCTATACTCCCTATTAGTGTGCTTTCTAAGCATCCATCCTGTCATCCCATCTTCAAGTGAGTGAAAGGATGTGGGGACAAGAACAGACCTCTCTTGGATGTGCAGGGAGCCTAGAGACAGACTTCTACAGCAGCAGAGCCCTAGTCTTGTTCCCTAAGAAAGAGAAGGGAGCCATGACTGGAAAGAAGGGAGATATCCATTCAGGGAGACCCAACACCCAGACCATAGTCTGAGACACAGACCACAGATCCTCAGGAGACAGGGGCCAATCCTGGCTTTCCTCTAAGTTCTTATGACTAGAAGGTTCCGACTGTACTCACCTCAACCCACTTCATCATCATCAGGTATCTTTTTTAAAAAAATCCAATAATTTGTGAAATGCTACACGAAGAAAGGATTATTTGATTCATTCATTCATTTCTTCATACTCACCCCAGGTATCTCCTCCTGGGACTTAGGCTAGCATCACAGAATTATCTCTGCCTCCAACATGCCCCCAGGAGCATCAAGAGCCTTCTCAGTATAATACCAAGTGATCTAGATGATTCCGAGGACTAAAAGGACACTCAACAACGTCAAATGCACTCCCAGTTGGTAGTTTCTGCTGTAATTTTCTTGATGGCCAAAGACAGCCATATGAAATAAACAACATACATTTCTGCAGGGTGCCCTTAAAGTGGGGACTTGGCAGGAACTTACAACCATTGGTCGTTGTGATAATGTTACTCTGGCCACCTTTTAGGTCCAGTGTGGATCCTAGACATTCTGGTGCAAATGCTGTATGTGTTTCTCGAATGCACTAGGGCCTGCGATTCTCTGAGTCCCCACTAGGATGGAGAGCTCACTAAGGACATGCTCCCTCATACTCTGGTGCAGATCACTCTTTTCTCTTTTTGCCCTCATCCTCATTACCTTTCACACACTGCCTTGTACAAGCATCCTCCTCAGACTCCAAGTCCTCCGCCCCCCAGGGCTGTCCACTGTCCAACAAAGGTCTCTCTACTCTTGTTTCCTCTGCCCAGTACACTTACTACTGATAGAATTAACTCAAGATTAATCCTGAATTAAAAGTGCCCAATACAAAGATTTTTAAACCATCAAGTCCAGGTAATTTCTTTCTGTCCCAGAAAGTGACTTAACTGTTTCACTTTCATTTTAAAGCCAGAGAATGGAAGGAACACAGAGTTCATTTTCTATTTTACAGAGCCAGATTCTTCCAGAATTCATGGAGCTAGACACCAAATCAGTGGTTTGATCAATGGTTTTAATGTCTCACCTGACTCTTGAGAGAGTACTCTTGTACCCTCTACTGTTCCACCCTGATTTGCTAATGTTTCCTGTCGTCCAAATATCAGGCCAGGAGATTAGTGTGGTTAAGACACAATTGCAGTCCAAGGGGGTTGCATGAAGCATAAGACTTAGATATTGCTGACTACTGGCACCATACAAGGGGTAGAGCGAGGAGACAGGATTGCTTCTTCACTCCTGAATGTATACATAGATACACAAGCACCCCAGTGAATGTAGAGATTGGATCTGGCATCAGCGTAGGGCTTTCAGGGCACTATAGGCAGCCCTCTACAGAGAACAGTCATAAAACTGGTTCTGAGCTTAGGCCAAGCCTTGTCGTTCCCTAGTACAAGTCTAAGTGTTCCTTGGTGGCCACGCTGAGGAAACAGACTTTATTCAACCAGTCACCATGGACCCAAGGTGGTATTAGGGGGTGGCTATTTGCTAATTGTGAACTAATTGTGAAGCATAGGGAATTGTGCGGGAACACAGGATTGTGGGAAACATGGGGCATGTGAGATGTACAGGGGACTGTGGGAAGTACAGGGGAGTATGGGAAGTACAGGGGATTGTGCGAAGCATGATATAAGAGGTACAGGAAATAATGTTAGACATGGGATTGTGGGAAGTATAGAGAATCCTGAGAATCATGCAGAGGATCATGGGAAGAATATGTAGCAATTCTCTGGTAGCCTATGTGGTATTTAGGAAGAGACAGAGAAGGCAGGCCCCAGGAGCAGGAATAAAACAAAGGTAATGGCATTGGGAAGACGTGTGGATAAGTAGTAGTCCAAAGTCTTCAGAGAAACATACCAAAAGGAGTGGTTAAGAGTCAGGGAACCTGGACTTTGAGTTTTGTTTCTCCTCCTTCCTTGCTGGGGATGTTTGAGCCCAAGTTCTTTAATCTACAGCATTTAGGTAATAATATTTACCTTGTAACATTGTGGCAAGCATTATGTTACGCACACACACACACACCCCTTAGTATAGTACCCAGAACATAATAAGCACTCAATAAACATTATCATTGTTATTGGGCGGTATTAGACCACTGACAGAAGAGACACTCATTCAGTGGGTGTAGGCATGTAATGCTTTATCACAGAAACTATGGGCTA